TTAGTGCTTTATCTGTAAAATAATGTTAAAATGAAGAGATTTTAGATGATACGCCAAAGAGAAAATGATGTCTGAAGTTCAGTAAGTTTTGCTTATATTGCTGTAAATATGGCGTCAATTTTAAAGCATCATTGATAATTGTATTTTAATTGACAATTTTTAACTATTATTTTATGTTTCTCAACCGGCAGATGCATTTAAAAAGTTTGCTAACTCTATAAACTAGAGAAGAAAAATAAAACAAAGTAATTTTGAGAGGAACGCCAAAAAGATTTTAGGTTTTGAGCACTTTCCATTGCAAATACGTGACATTGAAAAAAATTGCCTCTTAATGAGTTTGGGAACAATATATACCGATTGACAGTGAGTGATAAAATACAGCAGTTGGCTTGATAACAAACAACTACATGCATGTAGGAATGTACCTTAGGAATGATTAATGGTAGACTGTACTCTCAGTATGAGCTCCACAGTAAAGGTGTGGGTCGGATCGGATTGACCTCTTTGAATCCGATGGTTTGTCTAAGCTCTCAATCCGAATCCGGTCCGATCCGAAGATGAAAACAGCAATCCGATCCGAAAAAATATTTATAAATCCGATCCGACGCTAAAATTCGTAATCCGATCCGATCTGAACTTAAGTTATTGTATACAGCGTGTGTTAATTATTCGGTGTTAATGGAAATCATGAATTTCCAGCAAAAATAAGCAGATGCGAATCCGATAAAAATTGCAGGACGATATCACATAATTATGCCTTATAGCATTTACACGTAAATAGCAGTTTATACTTTATTAGAACTAGCGTAGAAAAAAACAAAACTAGTCACATAGTTGGTATAACAATGCATGAGCTTGAGCTGGGTTTACATTTTAAAACATCGTAATGTTTGACACTAATAAATCTCATTGTCAATGCTTCATGACACATAAACCTAACAAACTATTCAAAGAATCACAACATTCCTATATCCCAATTCCCATACGTAACTATTTAGGAACAATCCACATATCGCCAGTGTTGCTTTTGTCAGAAATATACGTCAAAATAACTCGGCGTAATATAGTATGACTCCGCTTCGACCAAATCACTCGGCTTAACTCGGCTCCAAAGCCTTCCAGGTACTTCCTGCCATATAGAACTATCTTAATTTGTTAAAATATTCGAGTAATTCGACGCAATACAAGAAAAAAACAAACCCGATCCGACAAAAAAACTACAAAATCCGATCCGACAACAAAAAAAGAACAAATCCGATCCGAGTGAATTGCTGTCCGAATCCGATCGGATCGGACAGGGATTCGGATCAGATTCGCTCACCTCCAAAGAGAAAAAATGGCTCAGCATGCTTCATGGAAGGTATATAGAAATAAATAATAACGCTAAAAACTCATAAAAGAACATTGTCTTCCGCGTCGATGTACGCCAATCAGGGCTCGAATCTTATCGCGGCAATTGCCGTAGAGGGAGAACAAAATGCCATGGATCATTGCGGCAACGACGGCAATTTTTTGCCGTATAGTGTAATTTTTATACTATCCATTGTGCATTACTATTTTGTTATTTAAATTCAGGTGTTGATCAAATCATGCGTAAACTACTATTTTAGTCTGAGTTTTCTTCGAAAAAAAAAACACTAAAGAAATACGTAAACATGTTTCTAGCTTGTCAGCAATCCAAATAACAAAAAATTAAATTTGTATTAGAGTAATTTGAAAAAATGCCGTGGAAACTGCCAAAATTGCCGCAGACCGCTGTTACGTTCTACGGCAATTTTTAACGCCATTGCCGTCGATTGATTTCAGGGAAATTCGAAGCCTGACGCCAATTGACTTCTCCACCTATCCCCGTCTCTTTTGGCAAGACATTCACGTAGTTAACAGTGAGTTCTGACTGCCATTCTAATTCAATATATTTACAAATGAGGCTTGACAAAGTTAGAGCCATAACTTGTGATCGAGTTTATACATTTTGTCTGCATGGTATTTCTTTTCGCTGGACCTCTCAGTAGTATCGATTGGTTGCCTGTAAAATTAGGTTAATTTATGTCACGGTTCTTCCTATGCAGTTTTGATTGGGGTAGAAATACGATAATACGTCGTTTTGTGCGGTTTGAGTAATGAACAAATCCTGACCTTATTAAAATCATAATAGTGCCAAATGCATTCATTAATGAGCTCTTCCTACTTTTTTCAGCTGTCTTGTTATCGTAACTGCATCCAATTTATCAATTGTTCTGTATGACCTTGGTGAAAGCTCATCAGTTCGTGTGATCACTTATGATGGTGGTTTTGGGCAATCACTCTATGTTTTTGAAGATGGGACTATATACTGGGTCATCTACAATCCCTCCACTGGGCGCTTTATAATTCTATGCACGTCTAAAGCAGGAGTAACAAGAAACCTCGGGATCTGGTACAATGGAGAAATTTGTGTAGTGGTAGACCGATTGTATATTTATATATTGGATAAAGACAACAACCGAATTGATATTTATTCCAGAAGAACATTGGTGAAACACTGGGAATTACGTATAATACCTAATGTCAATGAGTTGATCCTGGCATTGGGTAAGTAAATCACAGAAATACAAATACCATCAAGTCACTTATTTGCGAACGACTTACTATGAAGTAATTTGGTACATATAGATTAATTGTTTTTAGTGGCAAAAAACCTGGCATGTTGTTTAAGGAGACATCAAAAGATTTAACCAATAATTATACTTTCAAATCTTTCAAATTTGATTGTCTATGAAAAATTTGTCATTTTGAAAATTCGCCACGAGTCATGATGTTATTATGAAGATTAGAATCAAACATTTGCAAAAAAATGTGGAATCCAATAAATGCATTCACTTGAAATGTATACAGTATAGTCGACAGAATTTGACAGCGGAGGAATTCGGCTTTCTATCAAAATGTTTGCATAACCAAATGTTAGCACATCCCATCATAATTTGCAATCAGCTATTGCCTTCGATATAGTAGGGAAGGCACAAACCGCACGATAACAAACTAGCATGCATACATATACATCATTTGTCCGTTAATCTTTTTCATCACCTAATGAATTATCTTTTTGTTTCATCCGTGGTTTACTAAACAAAAAGGTTTTCGTTGTGATCGACAAATGAGTAACTATATCATTGATGATCATGATCTAGGGTTTTTTTCTGACGAGCCGATGACAGATAGTTTTGTATGAACCATTCACACCATGCATTATAAAATAATTTTTGCAAAATCCCTCCAAACATCCAAACGTCATTGAAATGTAATATCAACTAATCATGCTGGCCGACGGGCTGTATTTCTGATGTCTGCACCAAACATCTGGCCACGATTACTGTGTGCACTAAATTTTAATATTTAATTCTAGATATTGATGAATGCTGCTCCAATAACACATGTCACATGAATGCCACGTGTTCGGACACACCTGGAAGCTTCGTCTGTACTTGTAATGAAGGCTTTGAGCCAAGTGGAGATGATTGCATAGGTATGTATGTTCTCAATGTTACTTAAAACATTGCCCAAAATTCCATGTTTGAAAATACTGAATAGCTTATTTATTATTACTATAATTATATAGCTGATTATTGAAAATTCTCCTCGCTGATTGGTCGCCGTTGAGGCGATTATAGCCATTGAACTATAAATAAACTGGAAGGCTAACTACTATGATGAAGGCCTATGATTTGATGAAGCCAAAATAGTTTTTCTGAGTTTTTCTTACTTGACCCCAAACGTTGGGCTATATATCAAATTGAAGCTATTGAAAATTGCTATTCGGTGTGGAAATTTCAAGACTTCAGCGAAAAGAAAACTATTTAAAAGATACAAAAACAACTGCAAAATGGCAAATTATCGGTAATTTTGTTTGTAGTTTTTCAATATTTCCCTTTTAGCTAAAGTCTTGAAATTTCCACACCAAATAGCGTTTTTCAATAGCTTCAATTTGATATATAGCCCAACGTTCAGTGTTGAGTATTTCTGCTCATAACTCAGAAAAACTAAAATGCACTGGCTTCAATCCCCCCCCCTGAGTTAGCCTTCCAGTTTATTTATAGTTCAATGATTATAGCCCGATAATCACGTAAGCGATTTTCAAAATGGGGGCCGAAACCGTTTTGTCAATTAAATGACGAAGAAATGTGTATTCTTTTATTTTTTCTAAATAATCACCTATATGAAATTATACTAAAACAATTATTCACCTCAGGCTCGGTGATTATCGTGAATAAAAACCTCTCCTTTGGCGAATAATTGTTAATTAATTACAGCAATGAAGCACAGTCATGGGAGAAAAATGAAGCATCCATGGGAAATATATAGGGGACACAATAACAGTATTTAAACTTACACGGTAGAAATAATGGATCCTAATACGTTCCACATCCCATTTGTCTTTTTTACTTTTCACTTCCTTTTCTACCAAATAACTGTAAAAAAAACGCCGTAATTTTACAATAAAAAGTACTAGCCAGAGAATGTACTGTAATTTTGCAGATATTGTTTTCAACCGAAGTCTGTATTTATACCGTAAAAAGGTTGTAATTCAAAACAGTCTATTGCACCGCAATTTACAATTAAAGAATACTTTCTGTAAACGATTACGATTAAGCGCATGTCAAATAACGGATTTCTTTTTAAATACAATCCATTATACTGTAATTTACGATAACAGTATACTTACTGGAAAAAATAACAGTATATTATTATATGGCAAGCATCACTTCCGGTGAAATGACGGACTGTGATTGGCTGAGATCGGCGGTCCATTACACGAAGAAAAACAAAGGCATTTTAAAACAAAACAGCAAAACTAATTGAAAATTATAATTTAATTTGTTATTAATAAGATATCTGCGGAAAAGAAGGGATACATTAGTATTTTTTGTTTTCTTCGCCAAATGTGGACCACGCTGCTAATATGCATTTCAAATCATGCATTTCTTGTTCGTTTCAAGTATAAATGTCATATAATAAAATTTTTATTAACCTCGCTTGCTCGGTATGCACAAAGACTTCGGTCTTTTTATACAAATCTCTCCCTACTGGCTCGGTCTATACAAAAAAGTACCCGGTCCGATATTTCTCTGTACAGACCTCGCGTTCGGTTAATAAGAAGTTGTAATTACCGTTACTGGAAGTCGAGTTCTCAATTTTAAGAGAACGGAAGTGAACTATTGTGACTTTGATCAAACACTGTGGTGCAACTCGTGTAAATCAACTTCTGAACGCTCTGGTCCTAAGTGGGATTGATCCTTTACATTGTTTGTTGAGCTGTATTTGGAATGATTTTTATGTTCAATATGACACAAGGCAGCAAGATTTAGAATGATTCTTTTGTTCCTATTGTTGTTGACACTTTTGAAGTCCACCCCGATACAGTGCATGGTAACACTTGCTGCAGACAACTAATAGCACAACTAATTCAACTGCTGCATGTATGTTGCATCATAAAGGAGCCATAACCTACTGAAGAAATCAGTGCTGTATCATAATGTCAAATTAGAAACATGCAGCTTCTCCAACGCTTTTTGTTGTAGTAGTTGAATCAATGTTACTCAGCATACGCAAATTCATGTTTCATATTTTTATTTGATTTATTAGATATCGACGAATGTGCTCGTGGTTACTGTGATCCAAATGCAGACTGTGTAAACAGTGTGGGATCATTCTATTGCACTTGTAGATCTGGTTTTACTGGAAATGGACGCAACTGCTCAGGTAATGAAATAAGATGTGATACGATGTTCTGTAGAATTAGATAATTATCATGAGATAGCTATTTGACTATCTGACAAACTAAATTTCTACAAACCGGCAAACAAAGTTCACCAACTTGTCCTGGAGTGTTTTAGGTGCGACGAAATTTGTAGAATTCCAGACCGGTGCAGTTTTTCTTCCATTAACTACTCAATCCCATAGGTATATATAAGATATCTATGCTCATTCCCCACTATATATACTGCTTTACTAAAATCTTTATAGAAAATTTCTAAAATTTATATAGAAAGAAAACAACAATATGTAATGCAAAAACATGTTCTCGATTTGTAATCCAAAAATATGTTGTCATGCTTTTTTTTTAAATGATATTTCATAATTCGTTTTTAGTTTGCTATAAGCATAGAAACAATTAGCCTATCTCACGACGGCCAAATTCGCCATTTTTAGGGTACTTTTTTAAAAACAACATGAAAAATCCAAGCGATGTGAAAACATTTTTTCAAATATTTAACTGTAAATTAACTTATAATGATTATACTCACAATTAAAGTTATACAAATCCCTTATTCACTGCGTACAATCTCAGATTTGGAAAAGATAGTAACTCAAAAATGGCTGCGTGAGAAAGGCTAATTGTGAGTCATCGTGTTTGTTTTCAAACTACAAAGAGTAACATGGTGGCAAATTCGCATACGCGCTTAGCAATATCAGCAAACTATATGTGTTACCAGACCCAACGGAATTTTAAAGAAAAAAGACCAAAATAAATTAACACTCGTATACATGTACATCAGCTGCATAAAACCAAATATACGAAAATCGTGAATATCGAACTGCAATATTGCTGACTTTAATAAAACCATACCGAGCCATAAAGACTTGATCTTGAACAAATTTCGTAATGGAGAGTTGATTCTTGTCTGTTGAAAATTACTTATATTATTTGTGTACTAGAAAATACATGCATGCAGCAGGGCTGCATAAAATATTTTATTTTCTGGGACCACAAAGCCAATGAAAATATTTTCTGCATGCAAACACTGGGAATCTTATGTTTGAATTTGATCACTAATCACATTAGATTTGAAACCAAAATAGACGTATTTTACCCTGCTAGCAGTGGTTTCTAGCTGAGCTGAGGAGAAACCACAGTGAGCAAACGAACAATCGTTTCATGTAGCCGCCGTCCAGATTCACGGACACATACATTAAATGAGAAACCGGTAAAACAAGTTTGACAAGTTTTTGTTGTTGTGTGCATGGGTAACTGCTTGGCACTGCTGGTAAAATGCGAGCCAGTCGTACAAAAACAACACGATCACGCTCTAAATATAGTAACATGCTATAAATACACTACCTTTTACAAAATATTGAATAAAATGTTTGAAATTATACATTAAGATGACTTGAAAACCACCTACAGTTCAACAAAGTAACTATAAGTTCACACACTGCAGCAAAAATCAACCTTTTACAGAAATAGTAGCGCAGTCGCAACAATCTTTGATCAATTGAAATTTGTAGCGGTTGAGGTCGCGACAATAAAAATTGCAATAATTGTCAAAATCAACAGTAATTGGAAACGTTATTATATTATTATATTATTATATTATTTGGAAACTTTGGAAATTGGAATTTATCGAAAACGTTAACACAATCTCCAACGTTTAAGTAACAAAAATAAAGTTTGCAGACCGAATTTAAAAAATTGATATTGATCGGATAAATACAAAAATTTAAAAAGATATAACAGAAATTCAAATGCACAATTTGTAGCCATATGGCGAGGCACCAATTTCAAAATATTTTAGTACTGACAATAACGATATTAAAACCGATACATAAATTGTGAACTGCATGTAGAATAAAAAGTTGTTCGATTAAAACTGACAGACAACAAATAAAACAGTACTATGCCATGCTTGTTTAATTACAGATAACAAACTGTCAAGCTACAGGAAATGAAGTCAAATTAGTGATGTACGTCCAACCACATGATCTTTGCGCATGCTCGATAGAAAGTCGTTCGTTTGCTTCCAGTGGTTTCTACTCAGCTCCGAAACCACTGCCAGCAGGGTAGATGTATTTCAACATGGCTATGGAATAAATATTTTTTATATTTTAATTTAACAACAAACATTTACATTTTAATGGATGATGAAAGTCACCACTGGGAACTGTCTACAGTTTAAGATTCTAGATTCTTATAATTAGAATATATTTGTTATGAATATCATCTTAATTAATGGGTGAAAGTTCATGAGAAGGGCAGAAGGCTGTTGTGTATTGGAACATATTGCTTAGATTTTTTACTACATTGTAAGAAATCACCACACTCGTAGATTTTTTATCCACATACTGTAGTTGTTAAATGAGTTGTCAGTTGTATTCATATATAACTGGAGTGGTATTTCCAGAAGTAGCTAATACACTAGATGAAATCAATTATAACAACCCCATAGAGGATTTCGTCTTAATATCTGCTAGGCTATTGTCTGCCTGTCTCGACCATAATATCAGGCTGCTGGAATGCCGCCTGTACCGGTATATTGGAAACTTGTATTACTTGCATGTTGCAAACATCACTAGTTCACTACCTACAGCTTATTATTCAATTTTGTCATTTTTTCTCATTTTCTTTCTTTCTGTTTTTCCTTTCTTTCTTTCTCTTGACTTTTTTTCTTTTAAGACTTTTAAGTTTTACCCTCCATTTTTTTCTGCCAACCTCAAAAATTTTCTGGGACCAATCGTCCCGCGGTCCGCTATATTATGCAGCCCTGGCATGCAGAAACCCTCGCCTTACTGACAAAGCCATTATGTTTTCTGAACATGAAGTATTGGAAGTAGTTGTCATGGTAACACGATAATTTTAAGAATAGTTTTAAAATTGAAAACTACTTCTAAAGTGGCCAAAATATCACTTTTAATTACAAAATGATCAATTTCCCAAACATATATATGCTAGGTATGTTATTATACGTAATATAAGCTTCAATTTAATTTAAAATTCAACCACAAACGCTTCGCAAAACGTTTCATTAAAATGTTCTTAAAACTAAACTGCCTTTTATCGAATTATCGGTAAACAGTGAGTTTGAAATAAACTGATTTCAAATTCTCTCACGAAAATAACTTTGCTTTTCTCTTTATTTAAATTTTAATATAAAAAGAAAGGGTAATTAATAAAAATACACTGATATTATATCTGTCTTTTTTCACTTATATGCGCAACGGTCGTATCAGTTGTTAAAGCAATTATAAAACAAACCATACATCAATATTATTGACAAACTTACCTTCATTAACGTCGGCGACTTTGCTCCATTCTTTTAGACGTTTTTTTGCTCTCATAAAAATTTTAAATTTACAAAATCTTGCAAAAATACAACTTGCAAGAAATGTTTGTTATTTCGCAGTCGTCATGCAGTCGTTATAATGCAAATTTTAAATTTAATCAATCAGTGTTCACTATTCACGACAGTCCGCTACATATTTTGAGATCAGTGAGGATGATCACCCTTGAACGGTGAGCCATGCGCCCGCGATATTTGCTAGTGCGTTCCTTTCCCCGGATGTAAATAGCTGGGCGGAATTAGTACACTTAGTACCCGGGCTTACGCCTGGAACGACGCTCGGGGATTATACATACATTTAAAAAATAGGTACGCTGTAACGTACATGATAAAAAAATGGTCAATAGACCTTATTCATAAATCGTGACGAGGCCTCGTATCCTAGGATACGGGGAAGAAACGCGGGAAAACAAGCGAAAACTGCTTGACAAGCCAAATTCAGATGCTATATATCGACTTCAACGGCTTGTTTCTTGTTGCTTTTTGCGGTTTATAACGATTTTTGTGTGCATTTTAAGACTTTGTGCCCACAACGAAAACTGTAAACGAGTATATTATAAAAGCGACCGGTTTTTCTCCCGTTTTTGTGTGGAAAAAATGACAACGTAGCGACAGTGTTTATCCAGAAGCGAAAAACAGTATTTTACTGAGAATTTAACGTCAATATAAAGGTTATTCCGTGAAAAATCAAGACAACTATGGAATGAAAGTATAATTTTTCGAATTTGACATTAATATGAAAGAAAACAACAGGTCAAAAATCACAAGAGAACGTCAAATGTCATTGATTCATACGGGAAAATACGAACTATGGCTGTGGCTCGATAACATTCTGCAAGCAGCTATACAAGTTTAAAAAATGAAGGCTACATTACCTGAGTGAGTTGTAATCTTATTTCTTCAACAATAGTTTCATATTTCTTACGATTTTGGTGTTGTATAGACGTTTTGTAGGCTTGTTGGTTGTTTGTTTTGGCCATACAAACTACGACAATAATACAAAGTCAAAGGTTTCCTTTTTCGATTGACTCCAGCATCTTTTGCTTTAAATATCATGTTATATTTTCGCAAAAGTATTTTTTTCAACTTTCAAACTCAGTTGTATAGATATTATTTTCGAAAAAAGCCGTAATATTGACGAAAAAAAGCTGCCATAGCAGACAGCAAAAAAACATTTTGTGAATTTTCCCGCGTTTTTCCCCGTTTCCTAGGATACGAGGCCTCGATCACGATTTATGAATAAGGTCTATGCCGTCCGGTTTATTTTACATTTCCGACTTTTAGTGGGGAAGATTAAAATATCTCGGCAAGTATTTACTCGCCCTTTAAAGCAAAAACCACCGTGGAAATCCTCATAAAATAACTTTTGACACAATATGTCGAACGTGGGGTCAAAACATTATGCATAAACCGAAACAAATAAACAATTGTATATTTACTCACCGCTTGGCCAGCCATTCTGCATTTCATATCGAGAAAAAGTTGAACACCTTCAAAACTCTTCAGAATACTGTATGTCAAGCGCTTTCGTGCAAAAAGTCTCGTTTGAATATGGCGGACTAGAAAAATTTTTGTAAAATTTTTTTCAGAATATCGGGTTGTTACTCACACGCGCGTGCCTAGGCCGATGCACGTGCAAACACGTCACATGAAGGTAATTTAACCTTTAGAATCGATTTCCGACGTTTCCCGAGTGCTAAATTGTTTCAATATTTCAAACTGTATTTCCGCTCGAAGCTCTCGCGTAAAGTTTAGATATTCTGAAATACCGAAATAAAAGATGCAAATCTATAGATACAAACTTGAAAATAGCACTCTAAATAGTGTCTTGGATTGTGATTCGAACATCGTCGTACATATTTGTTTACATTGTTCAAAGTATATTGCATAAATTGCAATAAATAATTCATTGCATTGCATAAATTTTTTTTTACTGATTACATTGTTAGCTTGCTGTGTTTTTGTAGTCAATTATATAACATGCAGTTTAATAATATTTTCATGATGATAAAAATTACTTAAAATTTTTATGCCATATTTGTTTTCGAGTTATTTTTTTCGGGAAATAATTCTTTCTTAATTTAAGTAATTGTAAGGTATCTATAAAATTCACTTTTATAATTTAATAATCAATATGAGTTAATTTCTACCCTTTTTTTAGATTTAATCCATTGCTTATTCATTTGTATAGATGAAGATGAATGTTGTGTTGGAACTTTTTGCCACATGAACGCTACGTGTTCCAATTATCTGGGAGGTTTCAACTGTTCTTGTAATGAAGGTTTTACTGGTAATGGTACGGATTGTCAAGGTACGTTTAAACTTATACGCTGTTATTTCTCTATAACTTTTTCATATGAACACTTAGGATAATCCCCCTTCGTAGAAACAACCAGGCATCATTCATTAGCATGAAATGTTAGAATGAACCCGAATTCTTTTGCCTGTATCAATAGAAAGATCTGGTCTATGTTTCTCAAATATCTAGCGAAAATGGACCTGATTCTGATGTTATCTAAATATTGCGGTCAGATAGGTCGGAAGTCCAAACGTTTTGTGTTCCATTCAACAATTTGACCGGTCTGGCTGTGTTAATGGAAAGCGCCCCATGGAGTTATCTGCTGTTGGTGTTGTGAAAGGAGCGAAATAGCAAACCATATTAATCATTTTAACAGAGCTTCCAAAAGGAACAGAACTGTCCACTCCAGACAAGAATTTGTCTTGTTCTCGCATGCTTGGCGTTCTGATATGCAAATGCGGAAAATAGCAGTAACCATGACAACCGAATATAAGTTTTCTATTAAGATTTTTTGCATGTAGGCTATAGTATCTCCCATTTCTCACTGTTTTTAATATTGTAATGTTTAGAATATTTTTTAGGCTTAGATTGTTATTGTTTATTAGGAAAGGGTTCAATAGACCTTGATTATTTCAACGAGAATAGGCCTTGACTATTTCAAATAGACCTTCACTTACCTATTTCAAAGTTAACTAAACATTTCTTGGAAAACATTCACACAAATTTGTTTGTTCTTTTTGTTAAATATTTATCACTTGTTTACTGAGACCGAGGGAAACAGTGTGTTTTGTGGACCCGAGACCGTCGATGTTTCCCGAGGCGAAGCCGAGGGAAACATCGACGGTCGAGGGTCCACAAAACACACTGCTTTCCCAAGGTCTCGGTAAATAAGTGTTTTATTCAATAGTCAAAGAAACGATAAATTAAAGAACAAATGAACGTAAATACATGAAATATTTTATTGTTAAAACGTTATATTAAACACTGGCTACACTGCAGTTACTTAATGCGAAAGTTTTAATTACGTACCAGGCATGTCCAAAGGTCGCATCTTCACGTGATGGCGCACGTGATTTTTTTTGTTATTCGCCGGTCGATAACGTATTATCTTCCTCTCGCGCTGTTGCGCGGGAGACAGCCTAATTTCGTCACTCTCACGTGATATGCTCTCGACCAATAAAACACTAGAAAAATGCGACTTTGACTATTGATATATAATAATAACGGCTTATTGACCGAGCGTGAGGTCTGTACTGTGAAATATCAGACCGAGGTTTTTTAGTATGGACCGAGCGACGAAGGAGCGAGGTTCATGCAAAAAAACAGAGGTCTTATATTTCACAGTACAGACCGAACAAGCGAGGTAAATAATCGGTTTATTATATGGCTGAACTGAGTCTGTGAGCATATGCTTTTCGCGCGAATTAAATCGGCTTTCAAACACTCATTAATAATTCATAAGCTTATTGGCAAATCATGTCAACCATAATATGTCGCGTCCAGTGGCTTTAAACCTGATAAAACACTCCTAATTAGTATTCTTTATATAAAGAATACCAATAAGGCAGTATCTATTGTAGTCGTGTCCTCATTAGTATTTTTTATATAAAGAATACTAATAAGGCAGTATATCTATTGAATTTGTAGTCGTGTTTGAAGCCGTTTAATAAACTCGCAGGTCGTGTTTTATTAGGTCTAAAGCCACTCGCGCTGCGCGCTCGTGTCTTTAAACCCAATAAAACACTCCTGCTCGTTTATTAAACAGTACATCCGTTCGTCAATTTCACTGGGTAACAATATACGGTAGCCATGCATGCTCAAGAAAAAACAATTTGGTTGTTTGAAATTTTTATCTGTTAAGCACAATTAGAAATTTAAAAAGAAAATTTTTTTTCTGTTTGCAAAGCAAAAATTTCCCGCCACATAAACGACATCCGGGACACCGGTGCAGATACGGAAAATACGGACTCGTCAACCGTTCAGAATGGAAAATTTTGAAAAGCCATATAATAATAATACCCAATCCTTTTCAGTTACAAACTGCAGTGTTCTTTCTTGTGGAGAAAATGAAGAGTGTGTCCAGGTGAACAATACCTTCACATGTGTTTGCAAGGATGGCTATGAAGAACCGGGTTGCCTTCTGGGTAAGACGTTTTCCGTTTTTCGTTTGTAATTAATCGGATAATAATGTGGTACAAGGTTGAGATGTGATATCTGCAGCAATAACAAACCAATTAAGAGAAATTTTGAACAATTTTGCAATTTAAACAACCGTATTCAGGCCCTGATGAAGCCGCCATATTGTACTGCCAAAGTATATTTGTGTTTCATTGCAGTTTTTTAAAAGGTACATAGAATTTAATTTACCTATATTAATTGAAGCTGTGATAAAACATAGTAGAGCAATGTTGAGTGAACAAGTTATAAATGTAAACAATCCATCAAAGATAATGGTAATAATAGTTATAATCTATTTTAGCTCCAAATTGCAGCGATCCTTCCTGTGGACCAAATGAAGAATGTGTCCTGGTGAACAATACCTTCACGTGTGTTTGCAAGGATGGCTATGAAGAACCTGATTGTCTTCGTAAGAATTTTCGTTTTAAAATTAATTGGCGTTGTTAGTCCTAAAAACGTAAATGTACATTATACCCATATGCAATCAGTAAAAGAGCTGGTTGTTACATTTCTCTGTAACTTGAACCATGGATAATAAAATAAATGGATAGGAAACTAGCTGACGTGACCTAATGTTTTCAATGGGCTGATGGCGTGATTGGATGTTGAAACCTAGTTGCAAACCAAATTCTCAAAAACGGCATGTTTAGCAATAATACAGCTAAACATTTTAGTCAAAGAGCAAATGAATATAATACGCCATTCTACGATGAAATCTCTAAGTATTCCCAGTCAATTTTAGCAAATATTTCAAGCACTAAACAGTGAAAAAGGCATCCCAGATTTCGTTAAAATTGGGGACGCCAATTTCGTAGCTACAAATGTAAAAAAATACAAAACAAAGACGAAAAACATTTACCTTGAATACTTTGTCGTGGCTTAGGCATGTTTTTAAAACAATTAGACCAGTATATGCTTCAATATTACTCTTTTAAAGCGGAAAGTATAGCGAAACAACAAAAATGCCGAGAACTTTGCAATACGCGTGACGTCACAGATTGCAACTAGGTTGTTTTTGCTTACGTCAACTAGAGTCCTATCCATTTATTTTATTATCCATGCTTGAACTTAATCAACATGTCATAAAAACCATCAAGTCTTTGAAAATGTTTTCCATGAAACAAACCGAAACATTAGGTATAACTTAATTCCAACTTGATTATCTTATGAGTAGGCACCGGGTTTACGGCCAGAACGTTGGCTCGGGACAATTTAATATTGTAGTAATTTTAGCCTAGTTCATATTGCATGCAAATTGTGTTTCAGCATTTATTTTTGTAATTGTCACTGAAAGTTTCATATCCGCCTTATTTTCTGTTTTTAGGTCCAATGACAATGTGCAATATACCTGTAGTCGTCTACTATGGTCCTAGTGCAATAAACTACCAAGTAACCATCAATAACATAACAACCTCGGGAAGTCTTGGTAGTGGAGGAGCGAAAGACATGGACTACGACCGTTTCTCCAGACGATTGTTCTATTATGTGTCAGACAGATTCTACAGCATTGAACAAGATGGTTCAGATTTAAGAGAGATAGCATCAGTAGACAATGTTGACAGGTTCACTGTAGACGGACGAAACAATGTCATCTATTATGTCAATACGTTAACTGAGATTATTTCCAAGTTTAATATAACAAACTCAGTCGACACTGAACTTGGTATACGTGCCAAGGACATTGACATGGACATTATAAATAAGTAAGTACTCTTTAGTACAAAAACAAACAAGAAATATTTTGACCCAACTAGGGTTGGGCGATATTAAAAAAATCATCTCACGATTATTGTCAAGGAAATTATCACGATAGTCATCGAGCATGACGATAATTTCGATATATCGTCGCTCAAGTTTCTACCTTCGATACGATAATCGCGATTGAAAGTATCGCGATAAATTAAAATATCGAAATATCGCCCAACCCTAGACCCAGCTACTGTAGGTCACAGAGAATGTCTTGTTTGCCTTTAACAACTATCCTTGCTCACCCTGAATTTATGGATAATATCCAATTTAGTATTTCAAAATACCTGTGGTTCCGGTTTCCCGACCAACCCTTTTATTTCTGCCGACCCTATTATTTTTTTCCACGTGATCGATTGACCATGCGACCCTATTTCCCCCCGGTGGTTGCAGGCTGCTCATACAGCGTGCCAAATTGGCGTTTGTTGAGCTCAGTAGTTGTCGCAATATCAAATTATTGAACCAAAATACCAAATTGCCTAAATTTGTCCATAGGAAATGGGCATGTGTAGTTAATATTGATGTCGGGAGCAAGCAAAAAAAACCACCAAAACCATGAAAAAAATATTTAAAAAAAAATTATTTCCGACCTACCTACCCTATTTTTTTACGATATGAAACCGGAACCATTTTTTTAGGCCTTAGGTTATAGATTTCGGGAGGGAAAATACTGATTTTTTGCAAATTCGGTCACTTGGTTTAAAATATAAAGTTGAGTTGAAATGATCCTCTGGCAAAACAATTTCGTCCCACATGCAGTAATTGGAATGGAATATAAACTGTAAGAAAGAAGGTTGTGTTCAGAAGCATGGCTAATTATTTTGAACTGAAAATTCTGAACTTTCATTCCCTTGATTTTTCTGATGTTACCCCGAGTGCGTGCGCACACCGGAAAGGCTGAAACATTTGCCTGACCATGGTGGGAATCGAACCCGCTATACCTTTAGGATACCAGTCCAATGGACTGCCAACTAGGCTACGAAGTCAAATCGGTTCTACTAGGAACTGAGTGTAGTTCCTTCGATATTAATGTGGTCTCAATGTGCTAAAAAAGTCCTTCTTAAAATTTGCCACATTTTGTCTACATTCCCTGCATTCATCATCAGCAATCTATACCATATAAATTATCACCATGTAATATGTAACACTGTATCGCACTATTTTGTGCTCTATATTTAAGACATTGCTCAAAGTGTTCGGTTCCCGCTCATGCAACTTTGTTATATATTTTCTCCTCTAGTTACCTGGTTATTGTCAGAACGGATAGTGGTAGAAACATAGAGCGTTACAATGTAGAGACAGCAATGGTGGATGTAATCAAATCAGGAGATGACTTTCCTCAGGATGTTTCTGTTGATGCTGATAATGGTGTAGTTTACTGGGTGAACGTCATTGGTGGTTCTACGTTTAAAGTCAAGAGTACCTCGTATGCTGGTGATACAACAGACTTGAATATTACTTATCCTGACACAATCGAAATAGCTCAAGATGAACTTTACTTATATGTTCTGTTTGTTTCAAATCAGACAATCTATAAATATAGGAAAAATACATGGGAGCAAATGGGAAGTATCGTTGTTCCTAGTGGTACAAGTGGAATTGAAGTTGCATTTGGTGAGTATCAAAACCTGTATGTAACCTGTATCAATGAAATTATTTATAGTATCAAGCAGAAGAAAATAAACATTGTGCTCTGTCTTAACCTGATTAAGTCCTTGTTTTCAAGAGGTGAAAGACAGAATTTTTATTCTACGGGGCGACAGCGGAGTGTAGTTGAAAATTCCTTCTTTTACTGAATGAGAATATTTTTGCTATTGAACGAAAAAAGACATTCATTATTTGTTGTATATGACACCAAAGCAGTTTTGAGGCTCTTTTCTGTGTGTTTCACACAGTATCAACTGCGGAGTATCTCAATGTTCTGCAATATGTTTACATATTATTTTACCTGAAGTATTTGCTCACAAAACACCACAGGTTTTGTATTTGGAGCAGTGCTCTCCATGCTTTGTATACCTAGCTGTAAACATGGCTCCAGCTGGGCATAGAATGAAAACACTTCAGGATTGATTTAACTATCCTGTCTAGATTAGTTATTGCAGGGAACATTGTTCTCAGTGAATTAGCGAAGTCAATACAGTAATGTCTTTAACTTATGCAGCTCAACTGCATTACAGGGTAAAATTTCCCATGCCTATAATAAAATTCTAAAATTAATTCCTCTGGGTAATACTGTAACTACGTTCTATATGACAAAAGCATCATAAATGCTTTGGACATTTTTTGTAACACTTATGTAATGCTTAACTGCATTACAGCCTCATATTTCCCATGCCTATAATAAAATTCTAAAATTAATTCCTCTGGGTAATAGTGTAACTATTTTCTATGACCAAAGCATCATAAATGCTTTGGACATTTCTTATAAGATTCTGCAAGAAGCAGAACCTTTAGCAATATCATAATTCATCTTAGGTTTGATAAATTGTGATATATTTTAATTTTTGTAGACGTCGATGAGTGTTGTGTTGGAACATACTGTGACATGTACGCTACATGTTCAAATTCATTGGGAAATTTCAACTGCTCGTGCAATGATGGTTTTTCTGGAAATGGCACGGATTGCGAAGGTTAATGGATTTTTATATCTATTTATGCATTGAACACAACCTTTGAAACACTTCGAACTCATTGAACATGCACAACGATCATTGTTGTCTGGACAAGCCAAAATATTGTTAAAAGCCCATATACACGATATCACTAGTAATATATTATCCTTATCCTTTCGTATGCTCTGAAATAAAGACAGTGTAAAGATGTCGCATTTCAAATTTCGCCATAAACTAATGGACAGGAATAGTGGCGTCAGTGGTCGTTTTCAAACACAAGTATGACAATTGGATACAAATACTGCTATCATGTAAAGGGACAATCTGAAAATTTCATCTTTTCTGACCATTTTAATACCAACCTTGTTGAATACTTCGAACTAGAAGTTTGTGAATTTTGCGTTTAAAGTTGGGCTATTTTAGCTTTTGAAATTCCTCGCGCGGCCAAGAGGTCATGATGACGTATGCAGCGTGACACAGTGCACTCTTCCTATCTGTAAATACTATAAACAATGTAGCTTCAACTGCGTTGAATTGGAATTTTTGATAATTTAAACAAAATCCAAATAAATCTGCCTTATGTAGATGCGATACATTGGTAAATCAATGCAATGAAATCACCATACGACGATTTATCGCTTATAAGCCGGGGAAATGCGAAATCAATGTTGTAGTAGCAGTGTAGGTTTCAGATTTTCGTTTTATATAGTCCATTGTAGATAGTTGGATATAGTTAGAATTTATACAGTCCGTACTATGACAAAATAGGCGAAATGAAATTAATTGAAGTAAACGAAGTTGAGTATACCGGAACGCAATAAACTATTACTATTAGGAATATAAGTACTAAAGTACCTCAGTTACGCTTCAAGTGTGTAATGTTTTCGTCTATTTGCGTTTGCTGAAACGTGCCGTATCTATATACTGTTTGCGCGCAATTTATTCCCTAGTCACTGGTTGTGTACTAGCTGCGTCAAATGAATACTATTCTAGGCCGTAATTAATTTAATTCCTTTCTGGCCTTATCAGTCAAGAAGTTATGTTTTCACAACAGGCGTATGAACCACCGAGGCCGGAGCGCACTATATACTTCTTAGTCGATCATACTCACGCGACAGAGTCCGAGTGAAGAACCATTTATTTGACTAGGTTAATTTATACTTATAATTTACAATATCAGTTTACGTAACATACTATACACTTTTTATCACGTTCTCAGTTCTTTGCTGTGATTATTTATATCCAGTGTTGCTTTAAGACGGATACCTCTTCCTGATCTCATGCTGGAAGCGGTCTAGAGTTTTCCCATCCAAGCATGGCGAATATCCATCTCACTATCCACCGATATACGCCACTGCACGAAGGTATCTAAAAATTAACAATCAAACACTGAGACTGAGTTATTATACCTTCATGAATGCACTGTTACACACGACGGTACTGTTATACACATTTTGTTTATATATTTCAAAATATTAATATTCAAAGCAATAGATAGATTAAAATACACGTTTCAAAATCTTACAAAATACAACCATTTGCGATTATTGCGAATATATAGAAAATACTGATGAAAACTGACCAAAATTCAGTGAAATTAATTTGACTTACTCATTTTGCCCGGCTTGAGTTCTGCTTGTTGATTTGCGGTTATATACTGTTCGAGTGTTCGGTGCATAATAACAGGATAGTCCCAGTGCTGTATAATAAGCCTACATTCAGCGTCCTTTCCATCGTACGTAAATTTGGCCGTACATTCCAGAATCTCTTCACAGCACCGGTATCACTACAAATCTACAATCAGTACAATGCCCACTGCATGTGCACCTAAAATCAATTCACATGTTAAACGAAACACGCTAATAAATAGTTCGAGAAACGCTTTGATATTAGACTGCTTTGTTAAACTTACCATGAACTAACAGCTACGGTTTTCGTAAATCTCGCCGCAAAACCGTCTTCGCCTGTTTTGTCTTCCTCATAGTCATTAGTCACTATCAGCAACTGGCTCGAACTGATAGGGCTGTACAACGGACGATTGTTGCTCAACAACGTCCTCGTTATCTGTTGACTGTTCTGTATCTGTCTGTGATTCAAAGCTTTCGCTATCCGACATTTTTTGCGTTTTTAAGGAGAAATATACAAGCTACTGTCTTGCGATTAGTGATATTTTATAGTTTTCATTCAAGTAAACACTGCGATATGTCACACTGCATACGTCACAAGGCCGGAATTTTCGATACCAGTCTTTCATCAGGTAACGATTCAAAATAGCTGTATTTGTCGTACATTTTAGGTCATTTTCAATACTTTTAGAGCGCTTTTACTAACTAAAAATATTTTTACCTAGTTAAGGGAGGTCATTTCTTTCCAAATTTCGAAATTTAAATTTTTTCATTTTTCCTTGCATATACACTTTAAGCTAAAAGCACATTATTTCCAGAAATTCTATCACCACAATAAGCCAACGCAAGGAGAAACAACATGTTTATATATGGCTTTCCCCACAGGGGTATCTGCATTTAACCCCCACCACCCCACCCCGAAGAAATTAAGTGGTGATAAGTTGGCCAAATTTTCTACTTTAGTCAGTCAAAGAACTAAATGGAAAGCGTGTCTGATATCTGTGTATCATGACATAATCATGATGATTGGGATATGAAGGGTTTTTGTTACAGTTATAAAGATAGTAGAAATTAATCCGATGTTGTGCATGGTAGATATTCATTACATGTGTACACTGTTTGGATAACTCTTTTTAGTGAATGACCGATTGTGCTACAAATTGGATTTTTTATCATGCAACAGTCTCCCCGATGCCTTAAACACATTTTCTTTTGTGTGTGTTGGAGGGTGAGGGAGGTGAACTTTTGTCATTTAAAAAAAAAACGCTCTGCCTCTCTTAATTTTACATTTACGCCTGCATGCATATATGAACCGATTATCAAGTGTTCCAAAATTTGGAGAAAAAATTAATCAAAAAATTAAATCTTTAGATATCGATGAATGTTTGGATTATCCATGCCACAGCAATGCTACCTGCGTCGATGCAATTGGTTCGTTTAATTGCAGTTGCAATGAAGGTTTTCTAGGAGATGGTTTCAATAACTGTGAAGGTAAAATATATTTAGATTTAGTGTAATCAAATGTCGAAGTGAAATAGTCTCTAAACCTTCGTTGGTATAGGGACGCAACCACCTGAAAAATACATGGCGAAATTTGACAATTCAAGCCCAGGCTCTTCGTCTGGCAGTTTGTAGTTCCGATAGTCTTCAGCACATTCTGTTGACATCTGTGTTATCAGCTCACATCTGTTCTAGATGAAATATAAATACATACCGTTGTATTTCACCTCTTATGGCTGTTTGGTTGAAACATTACCATATCTCCTTTCGTCTTTATAGTATCTTGCTGGTGTTTTTGGCTGACTTTGCTCTTACCATTATTTCTTATTTCATGTTACAATGTATGATGTTAAGTATTTGATTATTCCATCCGCTGGAATAAGTCCACACATCTTCTTGATGTGTTTGCTATTGTAACCTTATTTCTATTTTCTTTGCACAAGATGAACAAACGTTGTTGTTTTCATATGGGTTCAATGTATTTTTGCCAATTTGCTTTATCAATTTGAATATATCCATATGAATATATATAAATACCATGAGCTCGCAATCGTATATGGCTGAAAGCTAACTCGGTGCGTAGGATGCCAGAAAATGGTAAATATTAACTGCAGCAATAATAAAGTCATGCATTAACTGCATCAATAATATCTTCTGCCCTATTGCAATATTTTGACAGTTTATTCAGCCACAGTCTGTGTCACAACTTTACATGACAATTTGCAATGTTTTTGTCGTAAAACTGAAGATGAAATAAATTGCTTTCGAACAGATATTGCAGGGTTTGGCTACCACACAGGTGAATGATGTCAATAAACTTGGCATCCGGAGTCGTATGCTCTTAATACAACCCTAACAGTCACCCTTAACCAAGCAATGAATGCACATAAGTCAAGACAGTGTCAACAAACAATGTCAGTATTTTGTTGTGGGACGAGCAGATAATTTGGCAGGAAAAAGTTCTTGTCTGTATCAGGCATACTTTTTGTACTCCAATTGATATGACGACAAAGAGGGGAAAGCATCAGAGTTTTCCCATTGATTCTAATTCTTTTTCCAAAATAAAAGAAGTTGCTGTTGTTTAAAGTCACATTCATGTTCTTTTTCAGCAACCAACTGCAGTATCCTTTCTTGTGGAGAAAATGAAGACTGTGTTCAAGTAAACAATATATTCAAGTGTGTTTGCAAGGATGATTATGAAGGACCTGATTGCAAGCTAGGTAAGAAAATATATCAGAGGGCACGAAACAGTAGTAACTCTTATTAGCACATGCTCGGGTGTGGATAGTGGTTGCTCATGCTCTGGATCTCGTTGCACTATTTTACTCACAGACAAGCAAATGGGCCATTCCATTTAATATAGGCCCCACCCCTATTGAGGGGTCCCTTCATAATCCCCTTAGGATATAAAAATTTTAGAACCCCCTTGGATGCGATTTTTGGAAGTTACCCCATGGATTTCTTTATACCCCCTTTAGTGAAAAACCCCTCCCCTCCCATAGGATTTCCAGACCTCTCAATAGGGGGGGGGGGGTGCCTATATTAAATGGAATGGCCCAATGTTTGTACTAAACGAAGACGTGGTTTCGCCAAACACAAAGAAAACCACAAAGTCTTCGTTAACAGTGCGTGGAGCTATTTCTAATGAATAAAATCACTAATGTTTTAAATAATAAAACTTAACAACTATTATTGGAGCTGTATACAAATGTTTTAAGAATATTTTCGTTGTTTTTTGGTCGTTATTATTTTGTTATGGTATATGCTAAAGCAATCATTAACCATGGAGGCCGATGAATAGTGCAAGATATTCACCTCAACGCTTTGTGTTTCTGTGAATATCCTTGTACTATTCACCTTCACTTCAGTGAATAATTGTTAAATATCCTAAATGTTTTATGGTGTGTATATTATATGTTTGAAATAGTTATAATTTTTTACCATTTGCTAGTCTGTTTTCCTAATAACGACTGAAGCATAGACGAAATATAGAATGTTATTATATTGAGACTGACATTGTAAACAAAATTTTCTCAATGATCTTGCATGTTTGAGAGTACTTCATGTTTTGAAATCTTCAGTCCGCTCACTCTTCTTATATTCTGGCCACTCTGCTCACATTCTGTTTATGAAATATTTAAATATTGCTACTGAACGTCAAACGTCAGGATGTGTAGAGTAACTGTTGAAATTATTGCAACCCTAGTTTACATGTGGTGAATATAATGAAGATAGATCTAGCTGGAGACAACCAAGTCGTAATATTTTTCTCACACAGACTTTATTCCCTGATCTAAAATATAGAATATTAAATATGTAATTTATGTAGACCTATATACCTGTGGTCAATCAAGTGTTAATATTTTCACACATTTTTCTTGACATGATAATTTAATATTCTAACAGTACAAGCGACATGCCAAGCAAGGGGTGATCCACACTACTCAACATTTGATGGAACATTTTATGATTTTATGGGAACATGTGAATATGTTCTGGCTAAAGACCGTGTAAATAACACTTTCGAAGTACGACAAACAAATGAACCTTGTTATGGATTGCCTACATGTACAAAGTCATTAACAGTGATCTTAGCAGGTTTAACTATCGATCTCCGAAGAGGAATGACTCGGGTAAATGATGTGCAAGTGACATTGCCAGTTTATTATCAAGGTGAGAAAACTTGACTTTAAATAAGTACTACATAAGATAACGCAACACTGGAGGTATAGCTACAGAAGATGCAGCAATAGACCCCCTGGTAGGAATCGAACCTGTGACCCTGGTGCACGGCTCTAAAATTCAAAAAATTGTATCCGAAAATTCGGCGCTCTAAATTTAGAGATCTACAAAAACCCTTGTAAGTAGCACAAAATGGCGTATATAACAGGACCAAATTTTTCATCTTGGCGACCAGATATTTGCTAAACGTATAGCCCTGGTAGCGATCGAGAATATTCCTTAAAATATTTCAGTATCTAAAGTTTTTCATTTCTTGCATATACAGTAATTTGCCATCACATTGAACAAGTGTTTTTTTTTTCGTAATACCTATGTACAAGGAAAATACTTCATAGCACCAAATTCTACTGTACCTTAGGGTGGGAACTATTCATGCGATGTGTTTATAAACACAGAAACAACAACTGAAAAATGTCACACCTGTATATCGGCTGTCCTGCTATCTTTTGATTCACTCTATAGGACAGCAGACATAAAATCTGTGACTGGCAGGTTACTGGTTGTTGTTGCTTACTACTGTAAGATGCTTTGTTTCAGTCGCATTTAAATTAAACTTATTCTTTTTCAAACTTGTAGTTTTATTGGAAACACTCAACCTTCACAAATTCTTACTATTACATGTTGTGTTATAATAATTCAAACTTCTGAAATGCATGAGTAATTTATTGATCAATATACCTTTGATATACGGCAACATGTCAATTATTGTCAGTGGAAAAGCTCACCAATCAGAATCACATATTTTAGACTTAAATACTATTTAGCTACGAAACAGGTAGTTGTTTTATGCGACCAGCCCCGCCCCCTATAGGCACGTGGGTGACTGTAATTTTTTTAATGTTTCAGCCTCTAGTGAAGTACATTTTAGCCCATTTGATATATTAGTATAAAATACTTTTTGACATTGATAATAGACGCGACCGGCCAACTTTCTGAAAGTTACATTCTGATGATGTTTTTTGTTACAAGCTGCCAACTGGCATTTTCTTAGACGCATTAATAAAGAAGCTATTTTATATGTTGGCACCTCTGATTTTGGCTATTAAATGTACTATGTTGACAAAAATGCAAAATCACAAAAATAAACTATACCAAGAGAAAGATCGCAAGAAAGTATATATAAAACGACCAAGCGAGTAGGGCGAATTTTCAAGTCGGTTTTGAGTTTGAGCTTCAAGTTGGCAAAATAGTAACTTTATGGTATACAGTACTGTAATTTATTTTTGTTAAAAATGAACTTGAAATTTTTGCATTTTTGTCAACATAATACTTTAATAGGCAACATTTTAAAATTCTCAAAATTTCGGCTATATATAAAGCCAAAATCAGAGTTGCCAACATGAATAGTCTTCTTTATTAATGCCTATACCCTAAGAAAATGCCAGTTGGCAGCTTGTAACAGAAAACGCCATCAAACAAATTTTGGTGTACATTTTCAGATTTTGGCCGGCCGTCTATAACCTAAAAAGTGGGAAAGGTGTTATGTGTTAACATAGTTAATAGAGGAGATGGTTTGGAAACTTATTTGCATTACAATAAACCTCACTATCTATGTTTTTGTTCAGGTTTATGCAAAAATGTGGTCTTTCATCGTCACGTGCGTATTGTATTTTTGCTCAACCAGCCAACAGCAACGGTTTTGTCCAATTGCCCATCCATGACTTTAACAATAGGACATTTTGAACATTCCTATTGGTTGACTTGAGAAAAATACAATACGCACGTGACGATGAAAGACCACATTTTTGCATAAACCTGAACAACATAGATAATGAGGTTTATTGTGATTTTATTGTAATGCTAACGAGTTTCCAAACCATCTCCTCTATTAACTATGGTGTTAATCACCATTTTAAAAGTTATAAAATTAATTTTTCTTTGAGTTTGCAAACAGTGTTAACATTTTCCAAATTCTGGAAATAAATTTACAAACCTCACACTCAATGATTATATTAAACATTATAATTGCTGGTTTACGATTACAAATGTTTTGTCTTCTTGTCTATTGTTTCAGGTGTCAACATCACTGAAAGTGGAAATGGAAATATAATAAATACAATAGTAACAAGTGATTATGGTGTAACTGTTCACTGGAACAATGTTTATAATGTACGAGTGATAGTTGGAGGTCGGTATTTCAACAGAACATCAGGTTTATGTGGTACATATAATAACATAAAAGATGACGACTTCTGGGCATCTAATGGTACAATTGTAACTAATCCAGTAGAATTTGGAAATTCTTGGAAAGTTGATCCTGATTGTGATGATGCAATTGCAGTACCACATCCCTGTGACGCCAACTCAGACAGAAGATGGATAGCACGAGCCAACTGTTCAACGTTACTCAGACCTCCTTTCAACGAGTGTTCAAGCCATATAAATGCCACCCAAGAAGGATTTATTTCAGATTGTGAATATGATATGTGTGCCTGCGAGGAAGATCCTGTTGTTTGTTATTGTCAAGCTCTCGAGGCTTATGCTGACTATTGTTCTTCCTTTGTTGATATTCAGTGGGAGGCATTGGACGAATTTGCAGTTTGTCGTAAGTGTCTAAATATGTATATATTTTAATTTTTTCAAGACACGTCCATTAGATAAATGATACCTTTAGAATCTTTGGCCTTTTTACTTTTTATATTGGTATTGTAACTTGTCATTTTTTTCCGGTTGCACTACTTGCCATTACTGTAATTGTTAATTGCTGTATTATTGTTACTACTCTTCGTCGTAAGTCGTTGCTCGTACCTTTTTCTCTAACATTAACTCTTACTTTTTTTTTATTGCTGTTTCTGGTATGCTCAATGTACTGTTACTATTTCTGTTACTTTTACGTTTCCCTTACACTAGTTCTTACTCCTACTTGTACAGTTATGAGTACCATTATAGCATTACCATTACTGAATGATGCTGTTACAGTTGCTGTGACGGTTAGCCATATTAATATTGCTATTAACCTGTGACTCTCGCCCTAACTGCAATTGTTGCTGTTTCGTGTACTTTTACTCTTAATTATTTTCTTACTGTGATTGTTACTGTACTTGTATAGTAGTTCCAACTGCAGATCATTGTTCTTACCATTACTATACACTGTAATTGTTATTATTGTTGTTATTGTTTTTCTTTTACTCTAACCGTTACTTAACTTCTTACTGTTTCTATTGATGTGACTGTTAGTTGCACCATAGACAATCAAAGGAATGGACTGGAAACGCTAGGCAAAACGCTATGATGCGAACGCGGCATCCGTGATACGGGCTAGCACGTATCAATTCCTCAGTTACCGTGGCAACTGGCCTGTAAAAAAGTTTTAAAAATGTAGATTTTGCATATATTTTTTCCCTTTTTTTTAAACAAACGCAAAGGTAAAAGATATTTTTTGGCGGTACCAAAAGCAAAGAATATATGCCAAGGTGAGTACGTGTATATTTTTAATTTTCCCTATAAAAACAATCATTACAACTTCGGTTTTTCACAACGGTGTCACTTGTCTGCTAAGGCATATAGTTATACTCTCATATGTAATGTTGATTCCACTAGGACGTTCACAAATCCCTGCGATATACAAATTTTGTAATAAATATATTTTTTAACAGCTCACCTTGCGCGACTACGAAAAGATGTCAATTTTTGTTGTTCTAAATCCGAACCCTGTAACTACAGTTTTAAAAGAGTTTGGGATTTTAAGGTTACATATTTTGAACAAGAATAGACTAATGAGTTCCACTATCGCTTTTTTAAACTTCTTTTTGGCAAAACAAACTCAAAAATCAATATTGAATGCGTGTGCACTGTCTTTGAAAACACAAATGTCGCTATTTTTGTTTTTCGAGTATACACTTACTTCGAACCCTGTAACTACAGTTTTAAAACAGTTTAGGATTTTAAAGTCACATATTTTGACTTAGTTAAAGTTTAATTTGAATAAGAGGTGTCAAGTTAATGTAAAAATCGTTTGAACTTTATTGGAAGTATATTAATACAGTACGTACCCATGCACATAAACACCAGGGCAATGGCGACATTTGTGTTGTCAAAAACAGTACGCACGCATTGATTCAATGATGATTTTTGGGTTTGTTTGACCAAAAAAGAAGTAAAGAACGGTAGTGGAACTCGTGCTTGTTCAAAATAGGTAATTTTAAAAACCTAAACTGTTTAACACTATAGTTGCAGGGTTTGAAATATGAAGTGCATACTTCGCAAACAAATCTGGCGACATTTGTGTTGTCAAAAATAGTATGCACACAGTCATTGATTATTTTTAGCCTTATTAACGCAAAAAGAAGTTTAAAAAAGCGATAGTGGAACTCATTAGTCTATTCTTGTTCAAAATATGTGACTTTAAAATCCTATACTGTTTTAAAACTGTAGTTACAGGGTTCGAAGTAAGTGTATACTCGAAAAACAAAAATAGCGACATTTGTGTTTTCAAAGACAGTGCACACGCATTCAATATTGATTTTTGAGTTTGTTTTGCCAAAAAGAAGTTTAAAAAAGCGATAGTGGAACTCATTAGTCTATTCTTGTTCAAAATATGTAACCTTAAAATCCCAAACTCTTTTAAAACTGTAGTTACAGGTTTCGGATTTAGAACAACAATCGTAGTTAGTCGCGCAAGGTGAGCTGTTAAAAAATATATTTATTACAAAATTTGTATATCGCAGGGATTTGTGAATGTCCTAGTGGAATCAACATTACATATGAGAGTATAACTATATGCCTTAGCAGACAAGTGACAGCTTTGTCGCCAAGTTCCAGGGTTCGAAATATAACCACACAGGGAGAGATGTAATATACGTGCGTAATTGTTTTGTCAACGTTGTGAAAAACCGAAGTTATAATGATTGTTTTTATAGGGAAAATTAAAAATATACACGTACTCACCTTGGCATATATTCTCTGCTTTTGGTACCGCCAAAAAATATCTTTTACCTTTGCGTTTGTTAAAAAAAAGGGAAAAAATATATGCAAAATCTACATTTTTTAAACTTTTTTACAGGCCAGTTGCCACGGTAACTGATGAATTGATACGTGCTAGCCCGTATCACGGATGCCGCGTTCGCATCATAGCGTTTTGCCTAGCGTTTCCAGTCCATTCCTTTGATTGTCTATGGTTGCACGGTCTATACTATTTATTAATCTTCCATTACCCTTGTCTTTACCATTGTCATTTTCAATGATGCTGCACTTACTGTTGCTATTACTCTTAGGCGTACTGAAATTTTACTGTTACTGGTATTTGTGTTCTGTGAGTTAAAACTTAGTTATGTGTTTACCTTTTCGTTCATGTTCTCTACAGTATATGCCCTTTTCTTCAAAAAATATGTTAACTATTTCTAACATTTTAAAATAAATATGGTCAGCTGATTATCTTTTCCACCACTAACTTTCTTTCAATATCTTAATGTAGGTACCCCATGTGCTAGTGCTCCATGTTTCAATGGTGGTTCTTGCAGAAATATTAATGGGTCAATATATGCATATGAGTGCACTTGCCCAATCGGATTCGTAGGTGACAGATGTGAACTTGAAGGTAAAAAAACTTCTCTCCAGATAATTCCAGATTCATGGTTTGGATGTTTTCCAGAAAACATTGAGACCTCTCCATCTAGTTGCATTTTTTTCAACTGCTCCTGGTTAGGTTTAATAAATATATAAAATTCACGCTCGAAATTTCCATTCGGCTACAAGACGCTTCAAATTTCTATAATGCTGCAATACTCACGCAACCTGATTGAAATTTACCGTACTCGCGCCTCTTGTTGTAAATAGTTGGTCCGGCATGGATAAATTTGCTATGAGTGCCGTTCTATAATATATGCTCACAACTTATTTAAGCATAATTGAAATTGGACCAAAAGCTAGGTAAAGCGCAAGTTTTTTAACTATATCATCCCCATTATCAATTCTTTTTTCCGTGCGATTTTTTGTTGGTCTCTACTGTCATTTTGCTGTTTTGTTTTACTGACAATGTTGTTAGTATTTGTACCTTTCACCTTTGTGCCTTGGGTTACAATCCTAATAGACCTTTAGTTCTCTACTCTGTCTCTGTTGCATGTGCGAAGACTGCTTCCAAGTTCACTATATCAAACAACACTCATTTTCGTCGATTGTACGATTTATCTTCGATATACAACCATTTTCTCTTGCAGTAAGCTGTACAAATTAATAATTGGTCGCCGAAAGCGAGAATATTATAAATCTATAGTCACTGAACAGCAGGCAAAGAGACTATAGGCTTGTAATCACTGAACGTATTTTAGTAGAAATTGTGAAGAGAAAAAGAGCACACAAATTATCAAATCCATTTAAATGGCTACAGTACAAAATTCAGCAATTTTTTCAGCACCCCAGCTAAGTTTTTTGCTATTGGCTTTGTGACAATAAAATAATATGCAAATTCACAACAATAATGTACACTGAAAAACGGTCAGAAATATACAAAATAATTTAAAAAAAGAGCACATTCTGTGGACCAGGATGAAAAGAATATCGATTTGCAGTTGCAATTTTCAACAAAACTTGGTTAATTAAGTTTCAGTTTGGGTTTAAATTGAGCTGCTCGCGAAGATACCTTTTTGAAAAAAATGGTAGTCTGTGGGGAGTTAGAGGCTATTAATTCTTGGTCGCTCAATTTCGACCATTCAGATTGCAAGTGAAGCTACAGCCACCTCACAATGTCTACTATCAAGGAATGGCCCTTACTGAACATCTGGGAGAACAGCTTATTATTTGAAAGTGCTATCCGGTATCCCGTGTAACTAAATGTTTAGTAATGTGTTTGTCCATATAGAGTCGGAAATTGGTTATACAAAATTGTTTTCTTTTTCTTCAGACGTTTGTCAAGTACCAATTCTCTATTATGCTAACAGTTCTACAATCGACACTTACAACACCAAGGCCGGTGATCTTTCACCAAACTTTTTCTTGAGATCTGCTGACGCTCAACTGGTCTACGACAAACATAACCGTCAAATTTTAATGTATGCATCAGGCACAACATTATCCAGAGTAACTTTGGATGGCTCTAATATAACGACCTTGGCGACAATGGAAGAGCATATTCGGCGGTTCACATATGATGGTCGTCGTAATATTATATATTATCTTCATGACGCAAGTGAAGCTATTCATATGTTAAACCTGACAAGTATGGAAGATGTGGAAGTTGGTGCTCTGGCTCATGTTTCTAACATTAAAGATCTTGACATTGATGTATTGAATGAGTAAGTAAACAAGGATGATAAGTAATAGTTCAAATACGCGGAAGTGTTCTTCCTCTGATTTCTAAATACAGACAAGCAGGCTGAAAATACGAGGCGACTTCGCCGAGATTTTTTAACCAGTTTGTCTGTATTTAGAAATCAGAGAAAGAACACTTGTACGAGTGTTTGAACTTACTTCTTAAACGAACCTGTATTTTATGAGAAAATCAAGATGAACGTTGGCGAAATTTGTCTGTAATCCTCCTCCGATTTCTAAATACTGATTAAATATTTATTTCTTTTGAATTTTCTTCATGAATTATTAATGAGTTTGAAAACAATATATACCAATTGACAGTCAGTGATAAAATACAGCAGTTGGCTTGATAAGAAACAACTACATGCATGTATTGTCATATTCGCCTGTCTCAAAAGTCTGACTGCACCTTAGGAATGATCAATGATTAATAGTACACTGTACTGTCAGTATGAACTCCACAGAGCAAAATGGCTGAGCATCCTTCATGGAAGGTATATAGAAAATTAGAAACAAATAATAACGCTGAAAAACTCATAAAAGAACGTTGTCTTCCACGTCGATGTACGCCAATTGACTTCTCTACCTATCTCCGTCTCTTTTAGCAAGACATTTGCGTGGTAAACAGTGAGTTCTGACTGCCATACCAATTCAATAGATTTATTCATAAGCACACATGAGGCTTGACAAAGTTAGAGCCATAACTTGTGATCGAGTTTATACAGATTGTCTGCATGGTATTTCTATTCGCTGGACAGTTGGTTGCCTGTATAAAATTAGGTTAATTTATGTCGCGGTAGAAATACGATAATACGTCATTTTATACGGTTTAAGTAATGAACAAATCCTGACCTTACTAAAAATCATATTAGTACCAAATGTATTCATTAATGAGCTCTTCCTACTTTTTTCCAGCTGTCTTGTTATCGTAACTGCATCCAATTTATCAATTGTTCTGTATGACCTTGGTGAAAGCTCATCAGTTCGTGTGATCACTTATGATGGTGGTTTTGGGCAATCACTCTATGTTTTTGAAGATGGGACTATATACTGGGTCATCTACAATCCCTCCACTGGGCGCTTTATAATTCTATGCACATCTAAAGCAGGAGTAACAAGTAGCCTCGGGATCTGGTACAATGGAGAAATTTGTGTAGTGGTAGACCGATTATATATTTATGTATTGGCTAAAGAAAACAACCGAATTGATATTTATTCCAGAAGAACATTGGTGAAACACTGGGAATTACGTATAATACCTAATGCCAATGAGTTGATCCTGGCATTGGGTAAGTAAATAACAGAAATACAAATACCATCAAGTCACTTATTTGCGGACGACTTACTATGACGTAATTTGGTACATATAGATTAATTGTTTTTAGTGGCAAAAAACCTGGCATGTTGTTTAAGGAGACATCAAAAGATTTAACCAATAATTATACTTTCAAATCTTTCAAATTTGATTGTCTATGAAAAATTTGTCATTTTGAAAATTCGCCACGAGTCATGATGTTATTATGAAGATTAGAATCAAACATTTGCAAAAAAATGTGGAATCCAATAAATGCATTCACTTGAAATGTATACAGTATAGTCGACAGAATTTGACAGCGGAGGAATTCGGCTTTCTATCAAAATGTTTGCATAACCAAATGTTAGCACATCCCATCATAATTTGCAATCAGCTATTGCCTTCGATATAGTAGGGAAGGCACAAACCGCACGATAACAAACTAGCATGCATACATATACATCATTTGTCCGTTAATCTTTTTCATCACCTAATGAATTATCTTTTTGTTTCATCCGTGGTTTACTAAACAAAAAGGTTTTCGTTGTGATCGACAAATGAGTAACTATATCATTGATGATCATGATCTAGGGTTTTTTTCTGACGAGCCGATGACAGATAGTTTTGTATGAACCATTCACACCATGCATTATAAAATAATTTTTGCAAAATCCCTCCAAACATCCAAACGTCATTGAAATGTAATATCAACTAATCATGCTGGCCGACGGGCTGTATTTCTGATGTCTGCACCAAACATCTGGCCACGATTACTGTGTGCACTAAATTTTAATATTTAATTCTAGATATTGATGAATGCTGCTCCAATAACACATGTCACATGAATGCCACGTGTTCGGACACACCTGGAAGCTTCGTCTGTACTTGTAATGAAGGCTTTGAGCCAAGTGGAGATGATTGCATAGGTATGTATGTTCTCAATGTTACTTAAAACATTGCCCAAAATTCCATGTTTGAAAATACTGAATAGCTTATTTATTATTACTATAATTATATAGCTGATTATTGAAAATTCTCCTCGCTGATTGGTCGCCGTTGAGGCGATTATAGCCATTGAACTATAAATAAACTGGAAGGCTAACTACTATGATGAAGGCCTATGATTTGATGAAGCCAAAATAGTTTTTCTGAGTTTTTCTTACTTGACCCCAAACGTTGGGCTATATATCAAATTGAAGCTATTGAAAATTGCTATTCGGTGTGGAAATTTCAAGACTTCAGCGAAAAGAAAACTATTTAAAAGATACAAAAACAACTGCAAAATGGCAAATTATCGGTAATTTTGTTTGTAGTTTTTCAATATTTCCCTTTTAGCTAAAGTCTTGAAATTTCCACACCAAATAGCGTTTTTCAATAGCTTCAATTTGATATATAGCCCAACGTTCAGTGTTGAGTATTTCTGCTCATAACTCAGAAAAACTAAAATGCACTGGCTTCAATCCCCCCCCCTGAGTTAGCCTTCCAGTTTATTTATAGTTCAATGATTATAGCCCGATAATCACGTAAGCGATTTTCAAAATGGGGGCCGAAACCGTTTTGTCAATTAAATGACGAAGAAATGTGTATTCTTTTATTTTTTCTAAATAATCACCTATATGAAATTATACTAAAACAATTATTCACCTCAGGCTCGGTGATTATCGTGAATAAAAACCTCTCCTTTGGCGAATAATTGTTAATTAATTACAGCAATGAAGCACAGTCATGGGAGAAAAATGAAGCATCCATGGGAAATATATAGGGGACACAATAACAGTATTTAAACTTACACGGTAGAAATAATGGATCCTAATACGTTCCACATCCCATTTGTCTTTTTTACTTTTCACTTCCTTTTCTACCAAATAACTGTAAAAAAAACGCCGTAATTTTACAATAAAAAGTACTAGCCAGAGAATGTACTGTAATTTTGCAGATATTGTTTTCAACCGAAGTCTGTATTTATACCGTAAAAAGGTTGTAATTCAAAACAGTCTATTGCACCGCAATTTACAATTAAAGAATACTTTCTGTAAACGATTACGATTAAGCGCATGTCAAATAACGGATTTCTTTTTAAATACAATCCATTATACTGTAATTTACGATAACAGTATACTTACTGGAAAAAATAACAGTATATTATTATATGGCAAGCATCACTTCCGGTGAAATGACGGACTGTGATTGGCTGAGATCGGCGGTCCATTACACGAAGAAAAACAAAGGCATTTTAAAACAAAACAGCAAAACTAATTGAAAATTATAATTTAATTTGTTATTAATAAGATATCTGCGGAAAAGAAGGGATACATTAGTATTTTTTGTTTTCTTCGCCAAATGTGGACCACGCTGCTAATATGCATTTCAAATCATGCATTTCTTGTTCGTTTCAAGTATAAATGTCATATAATAAAATTTTTATTAACCTCGCTTGCTCGGTATGCACAAAGACTTCGGTCTTTTTATACAAATCTCTCCCTACTGGCTCGGTCTATACAAAAAAGTACCCGGTCCGATATTTCTCTGTACAGACCTCGCGTTCGGTTAATAAGAAGTTGTAATTACCGTTACTGGAAGTCGAGTTCTCAATTTTAAGAGAACGGAAGTGAACTATTGTGACTTTGATCAAACACTGTGGTGCAACTCGTGTAAATCAACTTCTGAACGCTCTGGTCCTAAGTGGGATTGATCCTTTACATTGTTTGTTGAGCTGTATTTGGAATGATTTTTATGTTCAATATGACACAAGGCAGCAAGATTTAGAATGATTCTTTTGTTCCTATTGTTGTTGACACTTTTGAAGTCCACCCCGATACAGTGCATGGTAACACTTGCTGCAGACAACTAATAGCACAACTAATTCAACTGCTGCATGTATGTTGCATCATAAAGGAGCCATAACCTACTGAAGAAATCAGTGCTGTATCATAATGTCAAATTAGAAACATGCAGCTTCTCCAACGCTTTTTGTTGTAGTAGTTGAATCAATGTTACTCAGCATACGCAAATTCATGTTTCATATTTTTATTTGATTTATTAGATATCGAC